ACCTCTGACGCGACCTATCGCTACAACTGGTCAGATCTTCATGTAGTAGAGGCCATCGAAAGTATAAAAAAAATGAAACGAAATATAAATCTGTATTTTAATCAGATTGGCTCCCTTTATTTATTCTCCCATGTAGAGGATTTAATTTTCAAGATGTCCGTGTTATGTAGTCTTCAGTGATTGTGATAATATGTATATGTCTTTCTTGGTTTAACAAGGATCTCGTTAAAAAATGGAAGCCTACCTATTTATTGTAGTAGGGCTATTGTTTATTTATCAATAGATATATTCTAGACCTATTGGGACCAATTTATCCGACATTTCTTGAGGTTGTCATCTATGTGTACTGGTGTATATTATTGGTATTGTTAAAACTTCAAATTTTCAATAATGTATATTATTATATAATGTTATACAAAATAAAAGATTTTTCTATAAAATGTTGGTCATGTTTGTATATATTTTTATACGCCCACTTTTAAAAATGTGGATGTATTATGTCGTCGCCTCTGTCCAGACGTCCGTTGGCTAGTTTTGTGGATCCTCTAGAGGCTACATCCAGCCGATTTTAATAAAATCCAAAATGTTGGTCATATTTGTATATATTTTTATACGCGCACCTTTTAAAATGTGCATGTACTATGCCGTCGCCCCTGTCCAGACGGGGGGGTTGGATGGCTTAGTGGTTAGGACGTGCACGTTGTATCATTAAGCCTGTCATTGAGTCAACTGGCGTGGTTTTGAATCCCCGGTACTACGTGACAAGGAGTAGGGTCGTCTGTCCCACCTCGTGGGTTTTCTCCGGGTCCTCCGGTTTCCTCAAGCGAATTATGGAAATAAAATTGAACCATATGTTAGTCCCGAAATGACCTAGTCTGTGTGTGTGTGGCTCTCTCTCTCCTATCTAGACGTCTGTTCGGCTTTTTTGTGGACCCTCACGTTGTCACAATTTCCAGCCGATTATAATAAAACCCAAAGATTTCGGACAGGGTCGATTTTGGTACAGAAATTCCAGGGTTGTTCTTCCTGATTAAAGGAAAGTCACCTACGTAGATGGTGGAAATCAGACCTTGACTTTCTGTTACAATTGAGAATCCCCTGTCCGGGTTATGCTTTTGCACCATTGAGGGTCGATTTCCAGCACCTAGTAACTCCGTCAACAGTAAACAATATACATCTAATTAACGTGACGAGTTTGAACACTTTTATATGCTCAAGAGAGACAGAAATGGGGTTTAATGTCCACTCGACACAAACTAGGTCATTTCGGGACTAACACATGGTTCAATTTTGTTTCAATAATTCGCTTGCGCGTAGGGGTCTTTAGCAGTCGGAGGACCCAGAGAAAACCCTCGAGGTTGGACAGGCGACCCTACTCCTTGTCACGTACAACCGGGAAATCGAAACCCCGCCAGTTGACTCAATGACAGACCGTATGATACAGCGCAGCGCGCACGTGCTAACCATTCGGCCATCCAACCCCCCTTTTACGCTCAACGTTTGTGTGAAACACCACATGAACCCCGTCGATTTTCATCATTCTCTGTTCGTCTATCAAATTTGATATGTAGGATAGTGATCATACAAGACGAAATGAACGAGATTCAAACTAAGTCATTAAAGTATAGTGAAAAAAATGTAAAATATCGTGAATCGTAGGTTAGTCGTAGAAGAGAAATGAAAACCGATAGAGTGGATCTGAAAGTTTTAAATCAGAGATTACGTCATGATCTTGATACACGATGAACAGTCGCGATTTGTGGCTCAAAAGTTTGGGTCCACTTACATGATCGCGAAACAACCAAAATTAACTGACGCCTGCGCGTATGGTTGAGATTGAGGGTGAGATCTGATCTTTTGTATTTGTGGTCACAATGTTGATTTTCAAGAATAATGTAAACTGATTCGAAAAAAAAGCTTTATATAGGCACAATATGCAAATGAAAAAAAACTAAAACCAGTTTTTAGGCTAAGATCGGCCTAGGGGCAAAGTAAACCCTCCTATCAAGTTTGCCTCTAAGTCTGATCGATTAACCGAGTATTTTATAAAATCAGACGCCCTGAGACAATATTTCTGCTCATTTACGGGCACTGTCTTCATTAACCCAGTCCGAACAGAACAGTAGGACGTTAAACTTCATTTCATTTCATTTACTGACATACATGTATATGATTAGAGATTAGTGAGGCCAAAAACGGCGGCAATGTGTAGTACCATGAGTCTTCTGTCAGACTTGGAGAGCGGGAGTTTGCGGACCGGTCTCCACATCCTACGTATGACCAATGCATCTTTTCTAACTACATATAGCCTTCTGATCGTCTAGAATTAGTCTCTAGCTGTCTTTGCTTTTGCTTCACGTTGTGTATTTACTTCTTACTATTTTCTTACATTTTATATAGCATAGCAGGATACATAGATACAAACATAGTATAGATTAGAATACTAAAGTCATTCTCAAACCCTAGCCAGCCAGAATCAGTATGGGCGAGTCTGCTGATATAGAAATTCCAACATCTTTCCCCTTCTGGAATCAAGCTGCTGTCTAACGAATTCTCACAAGTATGATAGTTTTGTAGCTGTGGGTTTTGGACGTTCAATTATCTAATTGGTCAAATATGATGTAAATAATTATAGCTATTGGTTAATTAAATCACATGACGTCGAAAACCACCCTTATATGGTTAAATGGAAATTTACTGGAGACAATTCCCATGAGATATCTGTTATCATGTTGTTGAGATATAGAACCAGCTATGTTTTGGTTCTATAACTCTTTTTTATATAACAATATGTCATTCGTTCACTCATTTTGATTTAAGTATTTTTAGTACATATATGTGAATATGTTTGAATCTACTAACTTGCCAAATCATTAATTAATACAATATAATGCAATCTTATTTCTCTATTCCTTGCCTATAAATTGAAAACAATGTCGCAACGACAATATTGCTACATTTGCTTCACAACTTTGTTTGTTCGACGTTATTCAGTGAAGAATGGAGACAAAATATGTTCAATGCACGCCTTTCCGCGACGTTTTCGTCTGTTGCGTGGAAACGTTCTCATAACATTTGCATTAGACTGACTTTTCCGCCGCCAAAATGCGCACATGGCAAACCGTCTTAAGAGCACCTGGTTGGTACAGGAAAGTAGGACGCTGATCCTCATACCATTTCATTTTACTTCTGTAATGTTTTATTGGTTTTTTTTTTGGGGGGGGGGGGGTATCACCTGACAAAATCAACTTGATTTTAATTTAGATTGAGTGCAAGGTTCTCCAGGATATAAGATCAAGCCATTACCGTTGCCAGTCAAATACTGGCCCAACCGGCGCTGTATTGTACGATTCTTAACTCTTTAAAGGAGACTTTCTGTTAAAAATTCTAACTGTAGATATGTGTGTTACCTTTTCGTTTTAAACATTTATATGCATAAAGATTTGTGATATTGCTTTTTTATTTGTGATAGTAGTTTCACCCGTCTATATATCATCATGTTTGGCTCGGTGTATTCCGGTTAGACCTGACTGCACTTCATTCATTTAATCCACATCGACTTGACGCCAACTGTATGTCATGTCGAGTGAAAGGTTATGATGAGGGCATTAAGGAACAATTGACGACTATATATTCAAGTTATCGTGAGTTCGTGACGTGATAATAAAATTTACACAATTAATACTTCTAATAATTTTTGTTCATTATGATGACAGACAGTTTACACTTCGAATAATGTTCATTTATTACGACAGGAAATTTACTGACATGTATGATGGAAATTTATTGTACAGCTGCGTGTGTCTGTCAGAGGTGCAGTCGTTTCTGTATCAAATAGGAAGAGGAGAAAGAAAAATGAAATGAAATGGGGTTTAACGCCCTACTGCTCTGCTCCGACCTGGGCTAATGAAGACGGGCATACGCCATACAGTGTCCTATGTGGGAAATTTTGCCCGGACAGTTGCACTACGGCCTTCTCTTATATCGAATTCTAACTGTCAAGGGATATTTTACGTACACGCCAATGTGTACACGGGACCTCGGTTTTTCGTCCCATTCGGACCACTAGACACTTGCCAGCGCCTTACCCACTTAGCCACCGTGACCCCAGAGAGAGAGAGAGAGGAAGAGAGAGAGAGAGAGAGAGTTTAACGTCCACTCGACACACTAGGGTTTTTTAGCAGTGGGAGTCAAAACCACGCCAGTTGACTGTAACAGCTAGATTTTAGCGTGAGATGCAGGGAACTGTGGGTAACCCACTGGAAGCATCAACGCTGATTGGTTAATCAAATGTTTGATGTCATAGGGTCAAAAGCCGCTGACGCGACATTCCACTTCATCAGGTCAGATCTTCATGTAGTAGAGGTCATCGAAAGTATAAAAAAACGAAACGAATTATAGATGTGTATTTTAATCAGATTGTATAAATTATCACAATGCACTATCATCGTCGCAGTATCTGACACATTTCCCTCCTCCGACCCATTATATCATGTACACGACTATCATTCCGCTTTTTCACGGACTTTCAGATCGGGTTTGAAATGGCGACCATGGCCTTAGTTGTCCAGATTCTCCTTGGGTATGGCTCTGTGCTAGATAGCAGGTGAAAAGTAGAATTATTACTAAAGTACGACGAATGCTTCGATCCAAAATTTAATTGACGCTATTTGAGGGTTTCTCATAACTATAACAATCTTGTGTAGTACAGCTAAATCTTACAGGGATGCCGAAGGTCGCGTGTTCACAATTTCAAATCAAGGACCTTGGCAAAGGATAATCAAGTCTGCTATGGGCTGTGTTCATACAGATTTTACCAGAAGCAAATATCCCGACTAATTTTCGAACAAAGTTTACTCGGTTCCAGAATGGCCGAAGCAAACTACCCGAAATCGTCCACAGGCACCAAAAGGGGATTAATATCTGATGGATAGAAGTCACTTTTCACTAACCGGAAATTCATTTCCGATTCTCACTTCTGCATATTTCTATTGGTATCACTAGCTCTTATAATAATATAATATATCTTTAACATGCATAAATCACATAAACAAAATAATTTTAAAGTTTCTAATCCGCTGATAGTTCCAGTATAAAATAATTTTAAAGTTTCTAATCCGCTGATAGTTCCAGTATAATATCGTTAGTTATTACTTTCGCTGTCTTCATAATCCCTTTCTGTGCAGAAAAGTAGGACGTTAAACCCCATTCATTTCAAGCCCTGTTCCTATGTATGTGTAACACATACTATCTTTAGTATAAAAGCGATCAGTTTAGTAAATACAGCATTTATTTACAACGGGAACATATAACAGCTACATACAACAACAATACGGGAACTAATACTATAAGGAACTAGTCTACGACAGGAACACATCTAACTATGTTAATTCCACCATTCTGCCCTCAGCCAAGGCAGCGGCTGAACTCGGGTGAGTCCATACACTCGTCCAAGCTTCTTTTCTGCTCCCTGCTCTTCTCTGTCCAACTGTCAGTGAACTCCTGCTTATATAGCGTACGATAATTAGGGAAAATGGATAAGAGAGAGAGATGGGGTTTAACGTCCACTCGACACAAACTAGGTCATTTCGGGACTAACATATGGTTTAATTTTATTTACATAATTCGCTTGCGCGTAGGGGTCTTTAGCAGTGGGAGGAAACCGGAGGACCCGGAGAAAACCCACGAGGTTGGACAGGCGACCCTACTCCTTGCCACGTACAACCGGGGATTCGAAACCACGCCAGTCGACTCAATGACAGACTTTATGATACAGCGCGCGCACGCTAACCATTCAGCCATCCAACCCCCCAAAATGGATAAGAGTGATCATCATATATGGTATTGTTTATTTTTCAGATTATGGTATCTGTAACTGCACTGCGTATTTCTTTTGAAGTCACGAGATTCTGCCGAGTGTTATACACAGATCATGTGTAGCTTGTAAAGGACATGTTGAATTAATTAGATGTTTAATAAGTCCGTGCCTTAACACAAGTTTATACAGAGGTGAAACGTCAATATCATATATTATCAAATCTAGCAGAGTTCATAAAATTCTATGCACCTAAATGATCGTTCAATTTGATGAAAAGTATAAATCACTTTGTCACATAATATGAGCGTCCCTCTTTCTGCTTTTTGGGAAACGTTAGTAAACAACACTTTAAAGAATACTCCTAACTGTTTTATTTTGTAAACGATCCCAAGAGAGAGACACACACACACGGGGAACGGGGACGTCATTTCATTTATTTATTTCACAAGGGATGCCGGAACAGAAATGTTTTAAGATGGGACGTGAATTTTTTCCTTGGATTTTAAAAGTCTTAATTCCTGTGTACAATGCAAATGGCTTAATTCATAATAAATACCCTGGCTGATTCGAATATTGCCAAGATTCAATGTTAAAGTTCAATAATTCGTTTTTATCTTTAAATATTGTATAACCAGCTTTTTCAAAGAAAGGGAGGCAATATTTGTTGAATGACTCTACTTGTTCAAAGGATAAAACCTTCCGCCAGTTCATAGCTGTCTCAAGGGAATTAGCTTTATTCGTACACAGTTGGCAGTTCTGTTCTATTCCAGCACTTGTTGAATTGTACACAAACTCCTCGACTTGCCGAGTGTACGTAAATTCCAAATAGTTAAATAAATTTCGCGCCGTTAAAACTGGAGCAGACGCGAATACTTCATACACTAATATTTTAACTTGTTCTGGGTATTTTTTCACAAGCCGTTCTGAGGCCTCCAGATCATTCAACATGTCTTTACATAACGTTGAAGCCTTTTCTATTTCCCTGGAAAGGACTTCATCCCCATTTCGCTTCGGTGCCAAATTAGACTTAGACAATACGATTGCTCGTGGATCTCTTATCAAATGTATTATTTTCAATTCGGGATACTTCTCTAGGAGTGGTTCGAGGGACGAAATCCGCATTCGTATTGTTTTTACCAGGGTGTTCTTTTTAGACAGACAGATATTGAGAAATGGCAGGAAGCAGTTTGTCTCCCACAACCTTCTGGTAGTAGTATGAGAACAACTATAAAAGTCTTCAGTGGTCTTACTCTTGTCCATGTGATATTGGGTAAGAGAAGCCAGATTAATATTCCTCAGATCACAATTTAAAAAACTTTCAATCGTCCTTTCCATGGAATCGTCATCTTTTCGCAAGAGCCTGGAATATACAAACGGTAAGGAAAGGTGTTTTCTTGATTTAATTTTAAATGGACGACTGTTTAAATCCAAGCTGTATCCAAGTCATGCTTGGCATGTAAATAAAGATCTAATTAATAATTTCTATAACATCGGAAGCCTAAATAAAGACTTGCAATAGGCAGATTTAGCTCTTGCATAATGTATGTTTAAAGTTAAGAGCTAACAGCCTCCGTGGCCAAAAACGTCTTACGTTCCTTTACCAGTAAGGGCTGGGGAGGACATTAGATAACCTGCAGGAAATCAAACTCCTTTACCTGTGCCGGATTCACATGAATAGAGGCCATAGGTACTATTCCACTTATGAGGTCCCTGCCAATCCACCACGCCCATGACTGAGCAAGACGAAAGTGTGTTTTAGACACAATTGAACAAAGCCGAGGATGATGACATATTATATTTAAGACTGTATATGTACGAAGGGCTTATGACGGTGTGAAAAATATTAGATCTTGATCCCTAGATCTTGATTCCCAGGCCTATGGGTGAATCCGTAAGGACGGCGAGGACGTGCACATGGGACCTCGGCCATCCGACCTGCACCACCGACAATGGGAGACCACACTGAAAAAAACACCCGTGGAGCTTTCTCGGCCAACACTTGAATTAAACCCAGGACTTTCTGGTTTGTGAGCCAGTGGCTTGCCGGGCCACCATACCTGTCCATAAATATCTATACATACAAAGTTTTAAACAGCATAAAATGTCACATTTAGTCTTTTTTTTCATTTTATCTTTAACCTATTTATTTCCATCATTCTTGAAAATTAATTCAAAACGAACAAAATAATATTAATAGAAAGAGAGACGTTTACCTGATTGGACCGTCCATAAATACGGCTGGTACATAGTATTTTCTTAATATTTGAACTGAAAGAAGTGGTTCAAACACATAGAAGGTGTCCTGGTTCTGTTCCAAAATCTTGCCCGTTATACTCGATCCACTACGCATGTAGGAAGCTAATATTACTTTCCTTTCTATGGGCACATATTTCAGGTCCATTCCTGCAGTAACTGTAAATGAAATGAAATGAAATGGGGTTTAACGTCCTACTCAGTAACTGTAAATTTAAAAATATTTATATAGGTTGGACAGACCTATACAGGTAAAAATCTGTGCCACGAGAACCATATTTTGAGTGGCTTAGTGGACCTTCCTCCGCCCTCGAGAATTATTTGGAAATTGCTGTATCCTAGAGTCATATTCTAGTATAGCGGGAATATAGCTAATAGACACCTTCTCCCGACGGATGAAATATACGTGACTGTACCAGGGCCGTATTTAGCGGGGGTGCAGGGGGTACATTGCACCCCCAGAAAAATAAAGCGCCCCGAGAAATTGCGCCCCCCCCACCACATCCAAAAAAACAAAAATTATTTGATAATCTTTCAATTATAAAATAATACACTTGATTATAATCATACAGTGATGCTCTTAAGGCACTGATCAGTCGATCGGTTTTAAGGGCGCCCACACGCATGTGTTCGTTTGCTCTAATCGAAAATTTCTTATATCACATACGTGGAGGCTATGGCGCCCCACCACTCTGCTGCACCCCAACTTTTAAAATCCAACATACGGCCCTGGACTGTACATTTTATATGGATTCCAAGCTAGAGACTAATCATCAAACTTTCAATTGTGAGGCGGTCAATCGGAAGGAGTGAAATAACCAGAGATAAATGAGATGAGTTCGCACGTCAGAAAGGTAGCTAGAAAAATGTGGGATGGCAAAATATACCGTTTGCCGACCGCACGATGACCAGGAATGGAAATTTTTATCTTTACTCAACGAGTCAGATGATGTGGCAAGAAATGAATAAAATTCTTCTGCTGTGGTTTCAAGTATATAGATCCAGGAATATTCGGGGTAACAGAAGAAGGCTACAGAAGTCGGAAGGTGTGCATAGCGAGGTTTTTGACAACACCCAGTCCCACCCTATACATTTCACTACTTGTTGTATCTTGTTTGGGTGGGTGTGACCTGTATAAATCGCTAAAACAGTTTTTCCCATTAAAATTTTATAAAGCTACAAAGATACAAAGGCAACCGCGTTGACATGGCGCATAACTTTGGAAACCAGTGTCCGTAATTGTCGCAAAGTTACCAAGATTCATAACAGGGCTGTTGCAAATATGTCGGCATTAGTTTAAAGGTTTCCCCGATCGACAAGCTCTCGGAATCCCAATATGAACTTAGGTTCGACGGGCGTGCATAGTAAAACAATCAATGATAATTGTGGCTTGGGCTTTTTGGGAATTATCACCGGAAATGGTCAAAATTCGGACGAAGCAAGTTGACGACAATATGCGTCTACATAATATGTATACTGTTGCCAGAAAATGCTCTCACCCCCCAAAAAGGGATGAACAAATTCAATACAACTTACTATTGGTCTTTGATTGCAGTTTAGGATAACTGCCGACAGGACAACTGCCGGTTGGACAATTGCCAGCGAGGACAACTGCCGACCATTTTATTATATATTTTTTATCATAGTTTATAGCTGTCATTGATTTTATTTGTTCTTTTTAGTAAAGTTTTATTAAATGATGAATGAGGCAACAGTTATAAACTATACTTAAAAAGATGTATATTATATGTAATCGTTATAAAAAAAACATAACTGTTAATCTTATTGCTAATGGTTTCATTGGTTTTTTTAGTATAGTTTATTACTTGATGGATGAGCACAATATATGTAATCATTAAACATAACTTAACAGTACAGAGACTGCACAGCGGGTACTAAACATTGTCCGTAAGTTCAACAGCCGCCATGTGTTGGACTATTCACGTGGTATTGCACATAATATTCACCTCTGATAACTTTGTGTCAGTGGATGCTATTAAAGATAGCCAGTCAGTAACTTAGTGCATGAGTATAGACAATGTGTTAAGTAAACTGAACCTGTGTGATAATAATACAGAATATTTAATTATCAAGTATTGGTTATTTTTAACAAAAAGAACATAACTACAGAAAAACATAGGATATCATCGGCAGATATCTCATCGGCAATTGTCCGCCGACAGTTGTCCTGCCGGCAATTGTCCTCGCCGGCAATTGTTGACCCCAAAACAAACAAAATGCAAAACAAAGATGCTACCTACTTTCAGTGGCCTGTGGTAATTGTTGATGAAATGTTGGGGTAGAGATTTGTTGGTGTTTGGTTACTAGTATATTAGATGGTTGATGACAAGGTGGTACGGTTGGTGTTGGTGGTCGTTGATGTGGTGGGTCTTGAACAGTTGATATAGACCGTAAAGTTAGTGTTATAGCGGCTATTGTTGAAACTACTATCACAGCAGCTTGAATTATCCAACATCTACGGCTATATCTTAATCCTGAAATAAAAAAAATGTTTTCTTATTTACATAGTATAGGTCTAATATCTTGACTGTGTTAGAATAGTTGCCTATCATCTCATAACCTTTCCATTGATTGCATTACCTGTATTGCATGACGTGCTGTGAAAATGTTTTGGGTTTGGATTTAGTTTAACTGAGTTAACAGTTTCTGTATCATCTGAGTACAGCCTATTGATTTACTAATTTACCTTTCAAATGAAATATCGGCTGTAAACCGAGCCCAAATACCCAGTCGTCGAAAAATAAACCAAAGTTTATGACACTGGCAACAGGCATGTTAATCCACACATCTACTCACTCCTCTTTTTATATCGGGTCCCACACTGATCCCCGGTTTTTGCTTTGTTTTTTGTTTGTTTGTTTTTTTTGGTTTTTTTGTTTTGTTTTTTTTTTTTTGGGGGGGGGGGGGGACAGCATCCAAAGTATAACAAAACAAATACCGACGAGGAAAATATGTTATAGATATGCACATTATATCAGTCTTGTTGAGCATTTCATAATAAATTGAAAATAATATGGACAATACAAATATTGATAAAAATGGTCTAAGGGCGTTTAGGAGAAGGGTCATAATAGGCTATGCCTGTTCCTCAATCCCTTTCAATTTCTGAATAAAATATTGTTTTAAAAAAAAGAAAAAAAAGAGCGTTTAGGAGGTCAATAGCATCCAAAGTATTGTAAAAAGTAATCGATATAAGGAAAGATGTGTTATAGATATATGCATATTCTAACCATTTTTTTTTTGACAAAGACGGTTTTACTAATTACAAACAAGAACCGTCAAGAGCGGATTATTTGTCAATTTCACTCAAGCATAATTTTGTCAATTGCTTTTGTTGCAATACTTTGGACGCTATTGGCAAAAAAACCCGCTCTTGTCGGTGATTAGTAGGACCGTTTATATTAGATTCAGGTGGGAGTTTCATCTTAAAATTAATTAAAACAAAATAAAAAAAAATAAGAAAAAAGATAACTGAATCTGCTCTCAACAGCGAATCATTACTGGAATACGTAGCCGTAAAATATAGTTAACATAAAGAACATATTTCAACTATGTTCATAATTTAAAAATAAAACACGTGTTGATGTATAATAAATAATTAAAGTGGGGTTATAAAACATAACAAAACACGGTAACAAAACGTAATTATATAGAAATAAAAAGTATTGGATGGCTGCACGTTATAAACTACCGTATTCCATATAAACAACTGCCCTGTCCATGAGTAGCCGTCGTAGCTCATATCAGTCTCGGGTTCGCTCCCGGTGTTGGTCGAGAAAAGTTGCTCGAAATATTCCGGCGTTGTGACGCCTTGTCGGTGGAGCGGAGCGGATGACCTCTGAGTCTGACAAGGAACAGTGTCTAGTTGTTCGGACGGGACGCAAAACTGAGGTCCCGTGTCCTGGGAAATGTGTCTCGCATACACTGTATGGCGTATATCAGTCTTCATTAGCGCATCGGTACCCAAGAGTAAGAAGTTCAACACCATTCATTTCATTTTAAGCCCTGTCAATATAAGTGTTCTCTTTTTATTTTATGGAACATTATTATAACGCCCCCAGTTTACCCCTCTTAAACGTAAATACTACTAACTGTTTTCATTTTATTTTAATATGTAGTAATAAAGATAACTTTAACCTGTTGATTAATTATTATGCCTTAGAAAAATGGAATTATCATTTACTTCATTTTTCACACTAACGTTACCTTCAAAATACTTGGTTATAATTTGTCGTTCTGTGAAATGAAATGGGGTTTACAGTCCTAACTTGGTCACTTTGGGCATCATAAATTTATAGTCTGTTAAATTCCTTGTCTCTGAGTCGCCTGACCAATCTCGTGGGTATTCGGTGGTTCCTCCGATTTCATCCCACAAAAAGCTCATACGCGCAAGCCAATTATTGAAATAGAATTGAACCGTATGTTCCAATTTGTGTCGAATAACGTTACCCCCCCCCCCCTCTCTCTCTCTCTCACTCTCAAATTCCCGCTATATTGTAAGCTTTGATACATCTTGTAGACAGTCTATGTATAATTGTTATTAGATTTATGAAGCTGGTTTATAAACGGGGCATGTTTTTGTACTATAAAGTAGTTAAGACCATGTTAATATATGTTAACTGTCATAAACAAGACTGATCTTTCAGCCCGACAGAAAGAGGGAGCAATAGGGTTTAACATCCACTCGACACAAACTAGGTCATTTCTCAAATGCTTGTTTTCGTGTCATGATTATTCCGTGTTCCTGATGACCCGACACACCCAATTGATTAATCTTGATGGGAGCCATAGTGGCTAAGTGGGTAAGACGTCGGTTCGCTAACCCGAAGGTCGCGTGTTCGATCCCAGCATTAGTCGAGAAAGTTCATCGGGATTTTTCGACGTGGTTCCCACTTGTTAGTGCTGCAGGACAGGGGGCCTGGCAAGGGACAAGGTATAGTCGTTTGAATGGGATGAAAAACTGAGGTCACGTGTACACATTGGCAGTTGGAATTCGATATGAGTAGACCGTACGGCTTTTTCCCAGTCGGAACAGAACAGTAGGACGTTAAACCCATTTAATTTCATTCACTTCTTATTTTTAAGCTTGAGATAGAATCAGTAGAAATCAAGTCACATTTTTATCCGTCATGAATTTTAACTATACATAAACAGATACTTCTCTACTCACTTTTTACTTGCTGTTTTTTTTTTGTGGGGGGGGGGGGGTATCCCACCCGATCTATCGGGCACTTTTCCATGCACCAAAATACAAAGGTTATGAGATAATAACTGTCGTGTACATGTGCGTAAAATTTTTCTTTTTAGGTATAACTATGTACATTGATGATATAACTGTTGAAGTTTACCTCAATAGTTTCTCTGTTATCTTTGAGACTGAATGCTGTCCTGTGATTATAAATAATATTTGAAAAGAAAAAGAAAAAAACATTACCTCTCATTATTAGTTGGTTGTTTTTGCGTGTTGAACGTACAATGTCCACGACATGTATATCACAGTATATCCTCTACCTGTTCGTATATCTACATCATATATCCATCAAAACATTAAAACACTGACAGTTAATGTCCTCTCCCTTTCCCAAGTCCGCGTGTTTTTTTATGTATTTTTTTTATAGCTGCAGAAACAAAAATACATTATTTTGTTTCTCTTTTTTTAAAAAAAAACACATCTGTTACGGGCAGTCTTTAATTTATCATGAAATAAATTCATTTAATTGTATTTGTGTTATTTCATTTATACCAGTTTACTACGGTAAATACAAATCTCTTAAAGGAATATGGGGATCACGATGGCTAAGTGGGTAAGACGCTGGCTCGCTAGCCTGGAGGTCGGTTGTTCGATTCCTGCATTAGCCGAGAAAGTTCATCCAGTTTTTTCCGGCGTGGTTCCCCCTTGTCAGTGATGCAGGACGGAGGGCCTGACAAGGACAGCTGTCTAGTCGTTCGGATGGGACGAAAAACCGAGGTCCCATGTACACATTGGCGTGCACGTAAAAGATCCCTTGACAGTTGGAATTCGATATAAGAGTAGGCCGTAGTGCCGCTGTCCGGGCAAAATTTCCCTCATAGCACACTGTATGACGTATGCCCGTCTTCATTAGCCCAGTTCGGAGGAGAACAGTAGGACGTTAAACCCCATTTCATTTCATTTCTTACGGAATATCATCGCTCTTATATACACGTAACTCTGGCAGTTTGGAGAGAGAGAGAGAGAGAGAGAGAGAGAGAGAGAGAGAGAGATTAACGTTAACTCAAGTAGGGGTCTTTAGCTATGGCAGGAAACCACGAGGTTGGACATATGACCCTACTCCTTGCCGCGTACAAGCCTGGGAATCGAATTCACGCAACTGAGCACAATGAAAAACCTTATGATCTAACGCGCACACGTTAAACCATTCGGCCACCCAAACCACACAATATGGCGTTTTGGTAGCTAGATCATTTTAGAGTTCCAGACCAAATAACATCTTTCGCTCTATAACGGTCCTCTCGTTAAACCAAAAGTGCCTAAGAAAACAAATCCGCCAATTCTGCTCAGTTCTTTAACCAAAATATTATCTCTAATTTCACAACGAACGACTGAGTATTACAAATTTAAAAGCTATTAAAATTTTGAAAAGAGCGTGTTTAGCATTTTTATATTGTGTGATTAATTAGACTGGTTTATGAATTCTACATACTCGTCATCATAAATGACAAAAGTAGATTTCATGCAATATATTATAAATACCCATTCAGGATAACAGTGAGGATAAAAGTTAAATACAGAGTTTAAGAGAGAGAGAGAGAGAGAGAGAGAGAGGGGGGGGGGGTGCGAAATGGGGTTTAACGTCCACTCGACACTACTAGGTCATTTTGGGACTAACATATGGTTCAATTTAATTTCAATAGTTCGCTTGCGCGTAGGGGTTTTTAGCAGTGGGAGGAAACCAAAGGACTAGGAGAAAACTCACGAGGTTGGACAGGCGACCCCACTCCTTGTCATGTACAACCGGGGAATCGAAACCACGCCAGAGTTTAAGACCATATAGGGCACTAAAACAAAATTATAAAAATCCAACAACTGTAGTAAGCATTGGGATCCGCATATTCCTGAAGCAATGGCCCGAGAAATCCCTCTCTAGCCATTGCTGTACTGAGACTGAAAACTTGGGTTTTGACGGAGTGTGTATATTCTCATCGTTCAATCAAATCTCTCCTGAGTACAGTAGAATTAAGGGAATTTTCATAAAGGCGGTGACCTCTTTAAAAAATCTAAGTGTTTGTAAGCGCTGATTTCAAGAAAAATAGTTAGTAAGTTATTGCCATTAAAAGTTCAATTTGGCTATTATTGATTTCAGACCGCCACCCATCATGTTAATACTAGCCTAATTCTCCTATCTTTTCGGTCCTACGAATCACTGACCATACTGCACACGGCGATCCATCTACTTCATACCTCGAGAATTTCTCAGGCGGAGCTAGCTGTAGACAGGCAGCCTAAGTTTGGGATGATCACTGACGAGCGGTTTTTGTTCAATGGCGTCCAAAGTCATGGACTCAATGACAGACGGTTAGTGCTAAATGATAAGGCCAGCTCAATTTACGAGATGTAAACAGAGCTAGCGCTAATAATTAACCCTAACCCTAACCCCAGTGCTTACCCTAACCACAATCTCGCCAACAATCACGTGCCCTAACCTTATTTACATCTCAACGACCTTGACAAAAATTGAGCTGGCCTTAACAAATAGCTAATTTAGCCATGACAGACCTTCTGACCCAAAGCGCACGTGTCAACCATTCCGCCCCCAACTCCCCAGGCGACAGGGAAATATATGTTATAGACATGCATATTCTACACATCATATCGCACGCACTATAGTCAGTCCATTCTTTATAAAAGTTGTTAAATACCGGAGCGTACTAATTATAATTATAAAAACAACCTTTATAACAGAAATTGGGCATATTTTTGACATTTGTGAACGATCTGGAATTGTGTGTCTTTAAAGTAGATATTTCTTTTGAGATTGCTGTCTAGTTGTTCGGATAGGACGAAAAGTCAAGGCCTGCACATTGGCGTTCACGTAAAAGAACCAATGTTTTTAGATGTCGGTACAAAATGATTGGACTGTAGCCAATATAGATTGATTAATTTTTAATAGCGCCAAGCAAAGTCTTGAAAATCGATCAATTAAATCCTAAATACTAGTCAAGTAAATATCGTCGCGTGGGCTAGTCGAAAATTATAAATATAATTGCTAAATTTTTCAAATTATACTGTAGATCTATATGAACATTATTTTTCTTTCAGCTTATTTAATTTTTGAAGTTCGTTAGAAATTTGGAATTATTTGATTACGTCGAAATAAACAAACACACATTAGTGATGAACATGGCCCTTTAAATACAGCGACGATGGATGATGATTGTATGACAACCGAGACTATATTTCAAAACGGGGAATAACTCTAAATTCCCCGCTATTCTGCAGTGAGCAATGGCCGGTTTGCGTAACGTAGGGCGTCAAGGTATTAATATTTTTCGATGTCTTAGACTACCCACAACGGAAAATACAACTAGGTATGGTATAGAAATGTGATTTGTTTATGAGATTTTTCACTTTCGTGTGGTAACTTCACTACTTACTTCCATTTTAAAGGCCTGACCTAGTTTTTAACCCATATTATTTCTCAGTCGCACATTATCAACAACCAGACGTCATTGACTGACTGGGTCACTGACACTGACAGCGTTGGATTGGAAGTTGAACTTCATTGCAAAACACGTATCGGCTAGATGTTGTCAGATATGGCTCTCGAAGATAAGGGACAATAACAAAGTATTGTCATTTGGACAGATTTGAAAATAAAAAAAATAGGCCATGTAAAATACAGTCAACGGTTTTACAGTCCCATACTATACGGGCCATACTAATTACTAATACTATTTATTACTAGTCGTCTAGTGTCTGGAACAAATTTATTAAACAGTAATAGTAAGATGAAAGCTTCTTTGTATAATTAATATATCACAAAACTATAAAACTTATGAACACATAAATCAGTCATTTTTTGCATGCAACTCTAAAAAACCTAATGAACAAAATTAAATAAATTCAAGGTATGCCTTTTCAATTTGATCAGTTCAATCTTTACTATCTGAACAAACTGTGAAATCTTTAACTCTTAAAATTAATTAGTTTTCTACTCTAGATATTGCCATAAAATCTCTGAATATATGATGGGTTGTGTTAGAATTTAAACAAATCCAAGTGATTAGGGGACCTACACTTCTTAACGGGGGGTTGGGTGGCCGAATGTTTAGCATGTGCACGCTGTATCATAAGGCCTGTCATTGAGTCAACTGGCGTGGTTTTGAATTCCCGATTGTTCGTGACAAGGAGTACATGGTAGCCTGTCCAACCTCGTGGGTTTTCTCCGGGTCCTCCGGTTTCCTCCCACTGCTAAAGACCCGTATGCGCAAGCGAATTATTGAAATAAAATTAAACCATATGTTAGTCCCAAAATGACCTAGTTTGTGTCGAGTGGACTTTAAACCCAATATCTCTCTCTCTTTCTTAACTTTGGAATTAATGGTTTTTCACTTGGAGTTCTATTAAGAATTCTCAGTACCCCACTACCCTCTTTGTCCATCCACAGGGGAGACACATAGTCAGATTATCCGGCTTTCATACTTCTGCTATTTATATTGACCAATCGAGTGGGTGAAGGGAAGTAACTCACATTTTATTGCAACTAAGATTATTGTTGTAAACGTTAGCAATGGTGCTAAGACTGGTACGTAAATTTTGGGATGGTTCGTAGAATCAAGCTACGGTCAAGGGCAGATAATTTGAAATCGTGAAAATCTTGTGGATGGACCCCGAGATTTGTAGAGTAGAACGGAACGATACCAATGTTGATACCGAGAATGGCTATTAAGGAACATCAACGATTAATATAGATGACCGACGCTACACATACCAATAATGGAACATTATTTTTTACAGATTATCATGTGGATGTATTATACGAAGTACCCAGTTATTACAATTAGATAAAAATAGGAACCAACATATTAACAATGTCAACACTAGGCATTTCTTCAGTTTACCAAAAGTTCTTCCACTCCCTTCAACAAGTAAAAGGAAGGACTATTCCGAGAGAAGAGTGTTAGGGTGAGTGGAAGCTTATTTTTGATTCATGATATTAACACACCGTGCAGATGGTTTTGAATTTAAGGTAAGGTGATTCAAAATATCTTGATCAGAATAATTTATCACTGTCCAAATTTGGATTCTCTTCTTTGTAAACAATCAAAAATTTGCCTTGTTGAGGGTTGACATTTTTTTAACTTCACAATACTAGGTTATTATTCACTTCAGTATTAAAATAATAGTACCGGCAATGTGCCAAACGTACATTATTAATACCGGTTGAAATATTGGACCTGGTGGGGTATTTCATTGAAATGCAAATGCTGGATGATGTCTGTATTTTAAGTTGTTTAATGGTCTCGTGCAAGACATTGCGTAATATATAGATATAGGCCCTGTGCTATCACACTCGTGCATTATAATGTCTCGCACTCAACCATTAAAGGAGCTAAATCGCTAACATTTGGGACCTAGAAATTAAAAAAGTGGGTCGCAACGCATATAATACTGTAATATGAATGTATATAAACTGATTTACATTTAATGGTTTCCGTTTTTACTCCAATTTCAAATCAGTTATGTTCGGCGAAATAAGTCAGCAATCTCAATCGAGTGCAAATTTCTAGCGTCTAGTTATTCCAGTCTACATAACTCCATTTGATTTGGTGCAATGTGTCTAGCCTCGTCCCTCGAGTCTCTCAATACAACTGGGGCTGAAGCGCATTATGGTACACGATTCATGTACCAATGTTAAAAAAATTATTTTATCTTAAATATCGGATATCAGAGGCTCATCTTTTCCCGGTAAGTTTACATAATCAATGTTGATTTAAATTGACCAATAATTCGTGTTTTCGATGTCGAAGATTTTGGAGGATTTTGAGTTACGGACTTAGGTCCTTTAAACCACACCTATTAGCAGTTGAATGCCTGTGTGTATTATACTATTAGTAGTATTAATTAGTCTACTGAAGTTGTAAGAATCAGGCTGTATTAAAACTCTTCAGGTAATTAATGATGACCGACATGTCACTCACACAACTTTCAATTAGACAATGAGACTGCAGCCCAAAATTCCCAACAGAAATTGAATGAAATATTAATGTGCTATGGTGTAACTTACTGAATAGCCAGTATCCCATGCTTGTTTCAAGGAGATGCCTCTGTTCAACTCAAAAGCATTATATATATTTCTATATATGTAAGAAATTAAGAATTGAATTTCAAGTACGACCATAAACAAATTTAGCAAAGTCAGACTTTGAAATGGATTCAGATTTGCTAAAATCAAACATACTCTTTTAGGTTGAAAAAATAATGTGCTAACTATTGAAATGGTTTGTAGCAGACCCATAAAATTAGTTTAGACTGGTCTTAAATATATCTTTCTTTGACCAATTCTGATCCACATTCTTTACATATTGGATCGAATTATTTGGTATGTTTTTGTTTCCATATTTCCAGGTATACCATGGAACAAATGTACGATATAGTGGCACAAGTAGAAAAATATCCTGAGTTTGTACCTTGGTGTACGAGTTGTATTATCACACATGCCAGACCTGGTCATTGTAAAGCTAAAATAGAAGTAGGATTTCCTCCATTAGTTGAACGGTACACATCTTCTATAACCTTAGGAAGACCTAATCTAGTTCGAGTAAGTATTTTTCTCATTCTAGAGCTATTGAATAACCACACTTGTTTGAATTTCTGTTATTTGGGAACACCTCCAATTTCTTCAGGAAAAAATTTATTTTAAAAAAAAAATGACTTAGTTGTTCTTCTCAAGAGCTTTTCGCTCCAAATATTTTTGTTTTGAAATTTCAACTAAATATTGCACACATGAATTGAGTGGGTTACTTTCTGATCAAAACATCTGAATTACCAAATAATAAATTGGCTTGACCCAGAGGTAATTTTATTTTTATAGCCAAGAGTAGACTGTTAGTTCACGTTTGAGTCAGAATTTCCTGTGACAGAAAATAATTTGAACATAATGTCTATACCACAAACAGAAAAAATCAAGAATTCCCTGTGCAAAAATAAACCTGACTATGATTTCCTCCCACTAACCAAATTATTGAAATAGAATTAAACCATATGTTAGTCCCGAAATGACCGAGTGTACACTAGAAGTTAGACTGCTTTTCTCTCTCTCCCAACTACTCAGAATCCTTGTGGGTGAATGCGATGGGTTTGAATCAAAAAACATTTGTGTGGAACCATTCATCATTCACACTATCTTACAATGGCACATGGGTCAGCGGATGAAATGTTGGCTTGTTCGTTCATCTGGATTTTGCGGCTTGGATCCCCTCTTACAGGACAGAGGGCCTGGCAAGGGACAACGTAAAGTCGTTCAGAAGGTACGAAAAACCAAGGTCCCATGTATACATTGGCGCACATGTAAAAAATCCCCCAGCAGTTGTAATTTGATATAAAAGTAGGCCGTAGTGCTGCTGTCTGGGCAAAATTTCCCTCATAGCATACTGTGTGCTGTATGCCTGTCTTCATTAGCCCAGTTGGAGCAGAACAGTAGAAGGTTAAACCCTATTTCATTTCAATGACACTTTATATTTGAATATTTCAGTCTGAATGTACAGAAGGGAAGATATTCAACCATTTACTAACTGTGTGGAAATTTAGCCCAGGTTTACCAAATAAACCAAAAACATGTACATTAGATTTTTCGGTAAGTTTACTTCACATAATGCTTGTTCATGGCTTGGTTGATCATGGACATTTTTTTATGATAGGCATAGATTGTGAATGGCCTATTATTAAAGTTTATTCATGCTTATCAGATTTAGTATTCCTCTCTTAAACATATATTATCTCCATTTGACCATATTTAATGAACAGGTGCCTGTTTCACAAAATTTTAACTAAGATAAAATCCAAATTTTAGTAATTTAATTGGGTAATATTAGGTTGATTTTAGTGCTTAGCCAATCAAAATTGAAGTATCCACAAAAATTTGGATTTTATCTTTAGTTAAGATTTCGAGAAACAGGGCCCAGAATCAGTTTTGTGACTGTAAATTTTGTCCTCAAGAAATATCTAGCCATTACTGTTTTATGGTAGGAGCATGGAGTGGTGGCTAACTAAACTGTAACTCTACCTGAAAAAACAACAGGTTCAAGATTTCAAAACCTCTATGATGTGTGGCGGGGTTGGATGGCCGATTGCTTGACACGTGCGCGCTGTATCATAAGGTCTGTCATTGAGTCAACAGACTTGAGTCATCGATTGTACGTGACAAGGAGTAGGGTCACCTGTTTAACCTCGTTGATTTTCTCTGGGTCCTCTGGTTTCCTCCCACTGCTAAAGACCCCTACGCGCAAGCGAATTATTGAAATAGAAAAATTAACCATATGTTAGTCCCTAAATGACAAAGTTTGTTTCGAGTGGATGTTAAACCCCATTCCTCACTCTCTCTCTATGACGCATGTACTAATCTAAACTACCTTAGGCTTAAAATAATGTTGTGGCATCTGCATATTTTGCTAAAAACAAATTCCTCAAAGCTTAATCCAATAAAAACATAAATAGTTAATTGATAAATTTTCCACTTTTATTTTCAGGTAACGTTTGAATTCAGATCAATTTTACACTCACAATTAGCCCATGTATTCTTTGATGAAGTGGTAAAAACAATGGTCAACTCTTTTCTAAAAAGAGCAAAAAAATTATATGGTCCCGAGAGTATATCTCGACAGAAGGCAAAGATTATTATTAATGAGTCTTGATGTTACTTTAATTTAGGAAATCATGTCTATTTTTGTTTTGTCCGATTTAGAGAATTTTAGTGTTAATGTGAATGTTATTATTTGTTATACAATGTATACTGTACTATGTGTAACCCATTTCACTTATATATATGACCCACTGACCCGAAAGTTCTGTTGAGTTGTACAGTAAAATTACACTTCAGTTCCTTTGAGTTGTACAGTAAAATAATATACGCTTAATTTCTGTTGGGTTGTACAGTACAGTGTGCCAGTAAGGAAGTTTTCCCCAGCAAAAGTTGCATTATGGCCTACTCTTATTTCAAATTCGAAGGATTCTTTTATGTGCACACCAATATGTACAAGGGACCTCGGTTTTTTGTACCATACGAACGACTGAGGACTTAAGTTACTTCCCACGATTTCATGGTATATGAGGTGGGTTTACAACTTTAGATTTAAAAATTTGTATATTAAAATCCAGGGGGTTGGTTGGCCGATTGGTTTAACATGTACGCTTTGGATCATTAGGTCTGTTATTGTGTCAAGTGGCGTGGTTTCAATTCCCTACTTGTACATGACAAGAAGTAGGGTTACCTGTCCAACCTTGCGAGTTTTCTCCGCATCCACTGGATTCTTCCCAATGCTAAAGACCCCTACTCGCCAGTGAACTATTGAAATAAAATAAAAATGTTAGTCCCAAAATGACCTAGTTTGTGTCAAGTGGGTGTTAAAACCCATTTCTTACTGTCTTAATGTTCAAGAGATGAACATCAAACTCGATATTTATCTTCAATTAATCAAAATTAAATGCATTTAATTTGAATAAATTTGCAATTGTTGATCCTTGAATTATTTTTCTTCTTTTAATTTTTAAGAAATCAAACCACAAATATATATATTACCTTGGATGGGTTGTACTAATCACTGACAAGATATCACTTTTCGCAATACTTTGAACACTATTGACCAAAAAACATCCTTGTCTGTGATAAGTAGGACTGCCTTGGTTATATACTATGTAACTGTAAGAGAACAGGTAAATCTACGATTACATCTATAAGGGAACAGGTAAATCGACCATTTTACTACGTAGATGTATTTAATACACTATAAAATATGAAATAGCTATGTTTTCTATACATTTTTGGACTATGTGTGTTTTATCCATGTGCATGCACCAGGGCTTTCATTTCAAAATGTTGCCAGTCGGTCAGATTTTAATGTGTTTTGTTTACTTCAAATTGGCAAGATATTTCTTTTTTCAGAAAGTATGACCATTTTTATCACTTTCTCAAATTTTAAATTTAGTTACAGGAGTTTTTACATAAAAACTATAAATTTAACTGTATTTATTGTGTGTTAAAGTAGCTAAATCTCTAACTCAATATTATCCGCAGTGTTTGATATTGCAAACACCACTTATTGGTCATTTTAAATCAACATTGATGTTGTTTTCTTACTGTGAAAAGATTGGCTTCTGATATCCAATATTTAAGACAAAATGAAAATTTTAAAATTGGCAAACAAATAGCATGACAGATTGCTTTTGAGCGCCATTTGTAATGAAGTGAATCGATGAATGAGGCTAAACGCATACCACAGTAGGGTGACCCATGCACTCTACAGAAATACAGTCCACCGCTGATAGTTCGAAACTACCACTGAAGCATGCACATTCGCCGAGTCGAGACCAACTTTCTGACAGTATGATACTATAAATAGCCATGGCACGTGCAATTCTCTACAAATCTATCAACTATTACAGCCGTAAAAAATTTATTGTTGTTGATTTTGAATAGCAGTAAAATTAAGCTTCTTGGTTATTACAGCAGATTTAGAAATTACGTTTGTTTCATTTTTTAAATCGCTTTATCATTAACTGTACCGTTAAGAGCGGCATCTTTTGGTTTAGTACAAATAATATCTCTGAAACACTTGGGTTAGACAGGAACATGATACTAGCAGTAGTTTCATTTTACTTTTACAAGCTTCTTAAAACAATTGTTGAGCTAGCTAAAGTGCTTATTTCTAAATTGAATTTCTTGTTCTAGCTTTCTGTTATGTTTCGTAAAAAAAATAGTCTTGATTATCCCGACCTGTCAATCAGACGTAGAATGGTCGATAGACTGGTTAAGCAAGACTAATTTCAGAACAAGGGCACGTAACCTATCTTTTACTCAAAAGTGTCTGGATGTTATGGACGACACTTGGAACCAGTTTGCAGTCTATTATTTATACATGATTAATGGTCATAGCTTATTAAGTACAACATGATCATTTATTTAGTGACTATAATTGTGTGAAACTGATTTGAGGCTTGGCATATATATAAATATTGTGGCGTAATTGTCGAGATATTTGGAGATATTTATTTATGGAATAACCAGAAGCCAAAGACTGCCATTCAACTGATTAGAAATTACAATAAAAACAGAAACAATTGAATGTAAAATCAGTTTATATACATTCATATTACATTATTATATGCTTTAGAACTCATTTGTGTTCATTACTAGGTGCTAAAGATTAGAGATTTAGCTCCATTAACGTTTAATTTCTTTATGACATGTATTTGGACTGTCATGTAAATTCTCCAGAGAGCCTGTCAACCTGGCAAGTAGAGCTGTATTGAGAGTTCTGGGTCCTGGTTTAACAAAACATTCTCAGACTCCAGTTAAGAATTTATTTAAAATTGTTTGCCTTATTTTAACTAAAAAATATAACCCTTTATAAAACTTTTGTTGTTTTAGTGTATCAAATACATCAATAAGAAACTATGTGCAAAGTTTTGTGTTTCTGGATGAAAGATATTTCTCATAAACAGTGATTGAAAATTGAGTAAATTCTTATTTTAAGTCTGAGAATGCTTTGACATGCTTTTTGCTTTTGTTTAGGTATATATAGTCAAATGATATTTTTATTTCTATGGTTTTTGTGCATTATATGCAGGTGTTTAAAGAGTCAATTTCTACTGCATAATTTTGCAAGCTTGTTTCCAGAGCATCAATGTTGCAAACAGTCTTTCATAGCTGGATGTTGTCCACTTGATGGTTATTTATTTAAGATCTGTCAAAGAAATTTAAAGAGTCTTCAACTTTTCATGAGAAAATATTATCCTTCATAATTATGATGTTATATGTTTTTAATTAAAGTAAGTTTTATTATAATAAATCATGTAAGTTGTTTTACAATAGGTCATGTAGGTTTTATTATTAAATGTCATGTAAGTTGTATTATTATAAGTTATGTAAGTTTTATTATAATAAGTCATGAAAGTTGTATTACAATAGGTCAGGTAAGTTTTATTACAATAGGTCATGTAAGTTGTATTATAATAAGCCATGTAAGTTTTATTACAATAGGTCATATAAGTTTTATTATAATAAGTGATGTAAATTATATTACAATAGGTCATGTAAGTTTTATTATTATAAGTTACGTAAGTTGTATTACAATAGGTCATGTGGTTAAATTATGTTACCCTATATACAGTAGTGTACATAGTTATATAACTACTGTAGTCTAAAACCAAATACATGTAGTTGTGTAGTTTAGTTTATGTGTGAAAGCTGAACTGTGATAAAAACATGTGAACCGACTTGAATGCCTGGTGTTTATAATTTTTACCAAGTGGTCCTAGCGTCATCTTACAGGGTCTAATCTCCTCGGTGTTCTCCTCTTTCTTCGCTGCTTGTTGAAGGTTCCTGGGTCACACAGATCAGCTTCATACTAAACTTACGCTGTCTGCGTACAATTAGCTAGGATTAAGAACAAACACCAAGCTAGTTGACCGACATTTTAAGTCATAAATCGGCGGTTTTATTCAAAAACACTGCGAGAAGTTTCGAAGTATTTATTCTGTTTCCATTTAATGAAATTGAAACGGTTATATTAGTTTTTGTTTGTATTAGAGATGTGAAACGGAGTAGAACCGCATTGCAAAACAATATACTAATTGTTGGATGTGACCGCCATTTAGAGCAGAGATCTATTCTCAAAGTAGAGTAGATAGTTCCCTCACTCGGCACATCCCCAGCAGATTCCAGTACCCTACATCTAGCCTCGGCTGTATGACGAAGTCCGCCATTGGAACTACTTTCTAGTTCTCGGATTACCAACGGCGTTGCCCATGACGACGCCTTTGAAGGATGTTTTATCGTAGAAATATTCAAAGTCTGAAGCTGTTTTTCTTTCAAGTTTATCCGATTTTCTTCAAACAAGGCCAACTTTGCAATGAAAATTCTACACACGCTTCGAACGACGCAATTTTGATAACTTCTTTTTAAAAACGGCATGTTTTCCTAATAAGTAAACCGGTGCCGCATCGCAATTGTATAGGCGTAGGTACATATCGCTTACCGTCATACAGCCGAGGCTAGATGTAGAGTAACGGAATCTGCCGAGGTTTGCCGAGTGATAGTTCCCTGTGTACAGAATGAATCAGCCGTTCATAACCGCATCTAGAGGAAGCTCATCTGAAACCACAGGGTTCTTCTAAACAAAGTACAGCTTGTTACATGGTCAATCCAAAGACCTTTGGATTGGAGTCGCTATTCTTTTATCCACATGTGTTAAAAGTAACTTAAGCGAGAGACAAAAAATCCACCAAACGAAAGGGAGTCCGTGAAGGGAAGAGTCAAAATAAATCTGCCAAATAAAAGGGAGGAAGAGAAAGGAAGAGTCAAAATAAATCTGCCAAACGAAAGGGAACAAGAGAAGTGAAGAGTCGAAATAAATCTGTAAAATGAAAGGAAGGAAGGGGTGGGTGGGGTAGAGTAAAAATAAATCTGTCAAATGGAAGGGGGTGGGAGGTAGAGTAAAAATAAATCTGTCAAATGAAAGAGAGGCCAGTAAATATAAAACTGACAAATGATAGGGGGGGGGGGGGGGACAGGCGTGGTAGAGTCAAAATAAATCAAACTTAATTTATTTGAGCGCCGTTTCGAAGAGTATTCTCTCAACGTTTTCGAGCAAGTACAGTACAATTATATATAGACAAGCAATAACGGAGAGAGAGAAGGAGATGGGGTTTAACGCCCACTCGACACAAATATGGCTTTATTTTATTACAATAATTCGCTTGCGCGTAGGGGTCTTTAGCAGTTGGAGGAACCGGAGAAAACCCCATGTGGTTGGACAAGCGACCCTATTCCTTGTCACAGTACAACCAGGGAATCCAAACCACGCCAGCTCTCTCTCTCTCTCTCTCTCTCTCCATAATTATTTGTTATGGTTTATTGTTCTATCAGTTAATACCACTAAAGGTTTAATTTTATACGTCTACATTTCAGAGGATGAACCCTATCGATAATTAGTGTCATGATGACTCCTATAAATATTCGTAGTTCAGCGACCTTACATTCCAGAGTTATCCCCTTTTTCTTAAAACCCTGTGAATACGACAGTGGTCAGATTTATTAAAGGCATTTGGTCAACTTCAACGATTTCCTTTGGATAAGCTACTGGGTGGGTGTATTTCCGGACCTTGCGTTGCTATCGTTAAATAATACTGATGTATTTATACTTCATCATTCTGGACCAGTATCGTCAACGACTCCTCACGAACCTGCCGTGACGTGATGAATGGACTGCAATGTCATAGTCAAGATTATTACATAGTCCATGCAGTGTTTCGTTTCATTGTCCACTGTTTCTGTTGTAGGATTAATTAATGTGTCACTTGCCACTTCGCCACATCTTGATAGTCTCATAAAATCTTAGCCATTCCTCCCCATTAGACTGATAAGTATGTGGCTGATTTTGCATCAGGAACAAGATCCAGCATGGGCTTGATTTGATTTGAATTCGGGGTAAAGGTCCTCTTCCACAGCATTATAGACCCCCCCCCCCTTCCCATCGGGAAAAGTAGGAAGCTGTGCACGGGAACCCCTACCGACACAACCAATCACAGGGAAAAAAATTAAACATATATTTATTGTATTTTAGAATAGTGAACTCAACGTTGGAACAACAGCAAGTCACAACACACATACGATTAGCACGTGCCCCTATGTTTGTGGGGTGGGTGCCCGGCGTTGCGTGGTTATAAATCGTCCACAGAAGGTAGGAGAATTGTTAAGGTTCTGGCGATATGGTTATATGTGTGTGTCATGCGAGTTAAACTCCGTCTAGACACAGGATTCAGAACTGGTGTTAATTTATTACATCATAACGTCCAGTATTTATGCACATTATATATAATAATACAGTTATGTTACTATTTATTAGACTTTTATTTCCATGAATCAGTTTGTGTAAAGCTACCACCTATAAATAGAGAGAGAGAAACTATATTAATATTAATAAGCTGGATATCATCACAGGAGGATGAAGTATATCTCGACTGTCTCCACTATTTTCCTAATTTTAGCCATGTCACGTACGTACAATATTTATTATACGATTTGGTCGAATTCGAGCATTACACTTTGTATTTAGGAAATACTGTATTTATTGTGTAGATATATGTTTAGGACGGACTTTGTGTTAGATATATGTATAAGATTTTTTAGGACGGACTGTGTTTGTATATAGATACCGGTATATGTTTTTCAAGTTAGTTGAGCCTTCTTCTTCTATAAGTGTTTCACGGCCGCTTCCACCGAGGGTGATATCGCAGACAAATTGTCTTGTTTTCTTAGGCTTTAGGCCCTTCCTGTGGGAGGAAACCGGAACAGACGGGGTAAAACCAACATACGCTCACACCGAGGATCGAAACCACCATCGTAAGGCCGGTGTGACCGACCATCTAGAGCTCGAAGCGCGACACTTTATACCGCTAGGTTATCCCAACCCCCAAGTAAGTTGATTCTGGGAAAAAATTAATAAAAGTTAAGTTAAAGATACATTAAGGGAGATTAGATAAAAAGCTGACAGTTCTCGCTACAATAGTTAAAAACTAGATAATGTAAAGGTAATTTGATGAAAATTTCCGTCAAATTGGTCCACTATGAACCGAGATATCAGCTTTGTAAATTTCCGCCTAGCCTCGTTCATCATTACATAAGTTAGTTAGTACGTTAAAAAGCATAGTCTCGATTATCCAATGTTTTGATTTAATTATCAATGAGCGTTTGCAGCATATAGGATTCTAATCCAGTCGATATCGAAGGCTAGCCTTGACATCGAGAGTTGATTATGGTCTGGATAAGTTAATTTATGTCTAATTAATAATTTAGATAAGATTTCAGGCCTAAAGAAAGACTTGCGATAGGCAGATTTAACTCTTGCATAATGCATGTTTAATTGTGAGTCACATACACAAAGGAACAAACCAAACACCAAAGCAGTCACGGGAGCTCAGCGAGTAAAGCGCTCGCTCACCAACCAGGGTCTGGCCCCGATATTCGCCGAGAAGGTCCCGCCGGATTTTTCAGCCTGGTTTATCTTTGCCAGTGGTGTGGCAAGGGACAGTGGTTCAATGTTTGCCAGTTTCACTGTATCCCCAACACCAGAGAACGCGTCAACCTGGTTTTAAAATAAATGCAACTTTTACACATACAAATGTTTACTTTTACAGATGGCCTGGGAAGGAAATGTCGACGGCTATGGTGCTATGAACAATGTAATTATGGTCAAGAAATTGATGACAATGGCTGTGAAACATGTCGCTGTCTCCTACCTCCTATAGGTAAGAATACTCATTTAAATAGCAATAGACACCTCGTATATATTTTAAAGGAGAAACTATATATGTTACGTTAATTAGAGATTTGTTTTTATCAAACTTCCTGGTAGCCGTTCTCAACAGTCGGTCGAGTATCGTCGCTTATTTTTGGGGGTGAGCAGTCGTTTAAATAGCAGCTATGGCCACAGCACATCAAGGTTTTTTTTAACATATTTCCCGAAGACTCCGACAAAGTCTGACAGTCCAATTGCATGGCAACAAAGCGATGCGAAGTCCTCAAATTGTGTCAGGTGTCATTGGAGCTGAATAGAGCAAAGATTTTGGACTGATGGGAGAGGCGCAAGAAGAAGAAAATAACCCCGTAGATTTTCTTTATTTTGGGGACACCATTCCCTTTTTATATACTTTCCACGACAATTGTACCAGAATTCATTATATTTTCAGGTCTCGGTTTATCATCTTTTCAAAATTACACATCCCTAGATATTCTATCAACTCTGTCGAAATCGGGTTCCAGTTTTTGGGTGCCCGATGGTGCTGCCGGTGCTCGACATGCTTCAGCACCAATGTAAACTATCCACAAATACTGAAGATAATAGACTTTGTGTAAATAATAACAAGAAAATTATAGATTTAGGAGAAAAATCATTTAAAGAATAAATAAATATGTAATACTCAGTGTTTGTGCTTGTAACAGGACCTAACATAATGTTAAAACACGGACGAGTAACAAGCCATTTTACCTTCCTGACCTGACAATCGATACCTAGTCAAAGCTGTAAACCAAGTTAAAGATCATTAAGTTTCTTAGTTAAAGGGACAATAACACTCTTGCTGGCTTGAAAGCTCCAGAAAATAAATTATATCTCTATCTAAGTACTAGACGTTTAAGTGTCCTACCTGTTGTGTAAATTATCCATTACATCCTATTTTACTTGTCCAGAGGGTTCGAAAATATTTTTAAATCGAAGTTTCATTTGAAAAGGTTTACGTTAGACGTTTCAAACCATTATGTTGAATTTTTCAAAATTTTTAAGGTGTGTTAAGATGAAATTTATATCACCAATTAATTGGAATATTGTAAAATAGTACAATTTGTTGACCAGAATAAAGATTGGGACATATTATTCAGTTACAACAAGAGTGGTATTGAGCCTTTAATACAAGAGGGCAATGGGAATTTTACATCAATCTGTTCAACATCATTCCATAACCGATTCTAGAGTCCCTGACAAAAGATGAAATTTGTCATTACTTCATCCCTTCTCGGAACGAATAAAAGACAAAACGAATATTCTCAACGACTAAAACGGTCTTCTATGAAGGGTGATCACAAAATGCCATCTACGCGACGTACTGTACTAGTTTTTGTTAAATGGATCGATAGAATGGAGCTCGATTTGAGGTACCTAAGTTACCAACAATCCAAATACCATGCTCAGTCAGAGTCAACCCAGTGGTTTAAAAATTATAAACTTTCCAGACACTAACGATCCCAAGCGAGTGTACTTTCGGGTTGCTTCTGTTGAGAAGATAACGAAACTGCTTCAAATCTGTCCGAAAGCGTGGCGTGACTTCCCGATTTTAAAATCTCGTAGTCTAGATCAGATTGGGTATCAGAGAATCCATTAAAACCAGATGTTTGTGAATCACTAGTAAATTCACGACCATAAGCAACGCTGTCATAAAAACGACTTGAAGATCCCTTCGGATTCAACGACGCCATCTCTGTTTCCAACCGCAACTTTTCAGTTTTCTCTTCTTGTAGAAGGCGCTCAGTTTCAATAATATCAATTTTAAGGTCTTCCACGAAATTTTCAAAATTTGGCTTGATGTCTTCTTCCAGCTGATAATCTTGCTCCAATACACTGATCTGGAATTTTAGCATCTTCATCTCATTAGCTCGCTTTTGTATCCGAGTCTTCAAATCCACAATACCTCTCTGGTAGTCCAAGAACTTGGATGTACCACTCAGAGCAAATGATAGTTTTTCTTCCATGTCGTTCAATTTGGCTTGATCCGATTCCTGATTACGAGTCAAACTCTCGAACTGATGGCTAACAGAGTTGTATTTATATTCCAAATTATTGATACGATCTTCGTGAGTGTATAAAGCGTCGATTTCTAATCGGTAATTTTGCAAGCTGATTTCTAGATCGTCAATGTTGCGGATGGTCTCTCTTAGCTGAACCATCAGGTAGTTATAATTGCCTTCCTTTACATCGGCTGCTTTGGGAGAAGGTGGGGGAGTTTTAGCATCAGAGGTAAAGGATCCAGACAAAACCGTTGCCGAATCACCCGAACTGTGACCGACACGATATGTATTACCTTTAACGTCGCCATAACGGTCAGAAGCATTACGGCTACTGTTTTCGGATCTGTAAGTCTCGACCTTCAGATCCAAACTAAGGTCACTGTCATCTGTAGGTAAGCCGTTCGCAGAAGGTTTATCAGTTTGTCCCGGTTTAAATTTAGCAACTCTCGGTTTCTTGATAACTAACCGTGGTCTAGAAGAACCTGGTTTGGAAGTCTGTGGTCTTGAAGAGCGTGGTTTAGCAGATGATGGAACGCTTCGTGACACAGCGGTTTTCGCGGTGCTGTTACTAGACAATGTCGACGATCGACTCAATGGTAGTGACGGATATACCTTAGGTGCAAGGTTCAACCACTGCTTGGACAGTTCAATACATTTGTAACACTTTGTAAATATATCGGATAAAAGTCTTAATACGGGTTCGTAAGATCCGTAGGGAGCTAGATGATGGAGTTCGTGTTCACTATCCGGATCGAAGTCATCTAAGTTTATTTCCTTTTCGGATAGCAGATTCTGCCACCTGCATTTGATGTCAATTAGTTCATGAACGATTACAGATAACTTCTCATGTTCATCGCCGCAAATGATCTCCAGTGTCGATACACCGAGTTGTCGAGGTGAAAGCAAGGAAGCTTCCCCGGCATCTGACGCATCAGCTTGAGAACCAGTACCACTATCTGCTTCCTGATCAGACGTCCCTTTTCTCTGAACTTCCCTCGATTTCCTTCGTCGCTGTTTAATTTCGATCGGATCGGTTGCTGGGTCGTAGTAATTGTCATAAAGAGAATCGTATATGCCGCTATCGAAAGCCGATTTGATGGTCCGTATGTGTGTAATATCGTTTATGAAATTGTGGAAATAGTTGGACAATCGACGCTCATCATCAGATAGTTTCCCGTTTGAATGAAGCTTCATCTTGATTAGGATTTGTTGGATTTGTTCAACGGATTTAAGAGTCCATGTCCCACTTGAGTTTGCGTCTGTGTAGAGTAAAAGGTGGGTCAGAAAAATTTGTAGATTTTCTTTTGAAAAGCGCGACATTCCATGCCGAAGCCATTTCTCAAGTACAGCGAGTTTTTCTTGTAGACATGTTTTAGTATCGCCAACGTTGACTGGGGCCTGGAATGTAAAAAAATAATAATGAATGAGGTTTGTATGGCAAGTTAAATACTAGTACGTCATAATATAACAACACGCGGAAAAGGAGAGAGATAGAAAAAAAAAAACGGTTTAACGTCCACTCGACACAACTAGGTCTTTTTGGGACTAACATATGATTTAATTTTATTTCAATAATTCGCTTGTATGCTGGTTTCTTTAGCGGTGGGAGGACACCAAGAAAACTCAAGAGATTGTGCAGGCGACCCTACTCCTTGTCACATACAAGTGTTGGACTGATATCACGCCACTGACATAGCGTAAAGGGACACAACAGCAAACTACATACATACAACCACGTATGTTAACCGAGACAAGAGGGAGAGCGAGAGAGAGAGAGAGAGAGAGAGAGAGAGAGGGGGGTGTTAACGTCCACTCGACACAAACCAGGTCATTTCGGGACTAACATATGGTTCAATTTTATTTCTATAATGCGCTTGCGCGTTGGGGTCTTTAGCAGTGGGAGGAAAGCGGAGGACTCTGAGAAACCCACGGGGTTGGACAGGCGACCCTACTCCTTGTCACGTACACGCTGGAAATCAAAACCACGCCACTTGACTCAACGCGCACATATGAACTACTCGACCGTCAAACCCCGCTCAACCGTGACAAACTACACTTTGCACTTCCATTGACTCGAATGTGGGGGGGGGGGGGGCGAGGAAGTTATTAAAAGTTGGATACATTAATACGGTATTAATTTGACCTTCTGTAACCTGTGTGAAAAGGGTACAAATCATAATTGGTTTTACATGGTGTAATAATGTAATAAGTAAACTTTAAGTCAATAACATCCCTTGTCGTGTATCATTAACAATAAGGTTCAATGGTATTATACATGGAACAATGGAATTATTATATTAGATATATTTAATATACTCGTCAATATACCAGTACACGATAAGGTCAGTTATGTCAATACAAAAAGGACCACGGGTTCGCTGATAATGTTGTTCATATACCAACGAAACGTGTATATGACAATAATCCGATAATCTAATAAAGCGATAAGAGACTTGAGATATAATAAATTACTTTTGGCAGAAAGCGCCGTGATTTCATTAATGGGACATTACATCAAGATTGTACTGTTAATACCTTGGCTAAAATTTCTTGATTTTGTTAAGGCCAGCTCAATTTTAATCAAGGTCCCTGCGATGTAAGTAAGGTTAGGGCACGTGATTGTTGGCGAGATTGTAGGTTAGGGTAAGCATCAGGGCTAGGTCCAGGGTTAGGGTTAGGGTTGGGATTAGCGCTAGTCCTGTTTATATCTCGTGACCTTTGACCAAACTCGAAGATGGTCTTATCAAATAGATCTAACCCAATACCTTTTGGTTCATTACGTTTGGGCATTACGGGTATTGTGATCTTTTTTTTTTTCATTTTGCTATAATAAAGTTTTCAGGCCGTTTGTACATGTGACTACAGCTTGTCTAAATAAACCCAAGCACCCATCCGCCCTCCTACTACAGCCCCCGGCCTCAATCACCCGCAAATGGTCATTGTATGACTGTAATCAACAAACCCCAATGGTTGCCCAAAATCAAAAAGAGAACGTGGATCTGCGTTATAAAATGGTAAAACGATTTAGAAGTCAATATATGCAAATGCAAATTAAGAGAAATGAAATGAAATGGGGTTTAACGTCTTACTGTTCTGCTCCGAACCGGGCTAATGAAGACGGACATACGCCATACAGTGTGCTATGAGGGAAATTCTTATATCGAATTCCAAATCTCAAGGGATCTTTTATGTGCACGCCAATGTATACACGGGACCTCGGTTTTTCGTACCATCTGAACGACTAGACAGCTGTCAGGCCCTCCGCCCCAGCATCACTGACATGGGGGAACCACGCCGGAAAATCTGGATGAACTTTCTCGGCCAATGCAGAGATCGAGAAAATTAAGTGAAACGCCTAATTCATATCTGAGAGTGGACAGACCATATCAAACTCCCGTTCTTTGACAAAGCTATTTTTCCACCAGCTGTAAAAAAACGAAATAAATTTATGTTCGGCACATTGTCCCTTTAAGTATAATTTTCTTGTTTGTTATGTTATTGATTAATCTGATGGTAACTGTATCAATATTTACCCGTTAGGTGGATATTTGTGATCCAACAAGTTTTATGATTTATTCGCGTGTACATTTTTGTTATGACTGCTCTGACTACTTTAATTTATAAGAACATAAATTTAGTTTAGAGGCAGGTATATCATGTTTAAACTTTTACGAGAAGAGAAATGAAATGATATTTAACGTTCTACTTTTCTGCACCGACTGGGCTAATGAAGACGAGCATTCGGCATAAAGAGTGCTGTTGGGGAAATTTTGCCCGAACAACGGCGCTACGTCCTACTCTTATTTTCAGTTCAATCTACCAAGGGTTCTTTTACGTGTACGCACAAGTGTACATGGAACTTCGTTTTTGCGTCCCATCCGAATGACTAGAGACTGTTCCTCTTCAGCAGCTCCCCCAAACCCCACCCACGTTCTGCGCAAATGCCAAGGGAAAGCCACGCCGAAAAATCTCGAGAAGCTTATCAGAAGATATTAGGTCAAATTATAGCGACATAAAGAACTTATTTTATTATACTAACGGTGTGTTAAAAAATTTGAGAAGCAATTGAGATCAGAAAATTCATTGACTTAGTTTTATCAAATAAGAGCTCGTAATATCTGGCCACTTAGAAGTTTCAAGTTCGAATTCTGCAAAGCTTGTAATTAAAGGGATAAAATATGAGGTTTAACGTCCACTCGACACAAACTAGGTCATTTCGGGACTAACATATGGTTCTATTTTATTTCAATAATTTTTCGCTTGCGCGTATATAGGGATTTTTAGCAGTGGGAGGAAACTTGAGGACACGGAGAAAACACAAGAGGTGGACAGGCGACCATACTCCTTATCACGTACAAACGGGGAAGTAACCAGTTGGTTCGGGGGACCAGAGCAACGCAGTCCGCGCCTGTGTTAGTGTTTATATATCTGTATCCTTCCCTAGAATGACTATATCTCTACTTTTTACAACCCTAAACGTTCATATCATATATCTCATGGGAGGTAAAGTTATAGACAGACGTACGGTACACGGTATTTAATTCGAATTTATCGATGAATATTGACCGAAAATAGTAATTTACCAGGAACCTAAGTTTACTGTCGAAAGTTATGATTGCCTGAAAATGTCTCGTTTTGTTCGGTATAATACGTATGCGGATAAAGTTAATTATTCTGAATAATCGAGACTACGGACAATATATATCTATTTTTTTTTTATGGTCGACAATTTTTTGCACGGGGGGGGGGGGGGGGTGTGAGACTTTTTGCCCCACCCCCAGTTACGAGCCTGCATGAACGGTTAGGTTATATCTTTCAACATCCAACCGCAATGAAATCCCAAATTATATAGCTGTGAAACACTTACACAGACCCGGGACTGTACAGCGCAGTGGACGCTTACGGCTAGCCCCCGGATCCATTCACTTTTTTTGAATTGTCTGTATGTTTGTGTTTTCCTGAGTATGATGTCCTGTTCGTGTATTTGTTTTTGTGTAAATTTTGTGTGGTGCAGTCCCCCTGCACTTACTAATACAGTGCTCTACTTTTCCTATACTTCTCAAATGTGGGCATTATTGAAGAAATGTTTCCCGGCATTGTCAGCTCTTTAAACCATTGCTACACTTCCTGTAGTGAATGTATCGACAATTTCTGATTAGCCTGCATGCGAACTTAGTAGATCAACAATAATGAACGAATTAAGATTTAAATAATTTAGTAGCCCCACAATGAAATACCCTATAGCTTTCTACAGCTGACTTCGGATTCCTACCATTAAAGCACGTCATCTCGATGTCAAACGAGTGGAGAAATGGAATTTCGATCGGAAAACTCCATTAAGAAATTATGATGAAATCATTAAGCAGGTGATTATTGTTCGTGATTTCAAGTCTTAGAAATGAATCGAAAAAGTTTCCCATCTTTTTGCCATCACTAAAGATTTATAAATAATAATACATTTTGAAAGAAAAAAATGTTTTTCAAAATGCGGAAGATAACAGGGTGGGTATGTGTCCTGCAGAAAAAGCATGCTTTATATATGGCGCTTAATGCTAGATTCCCATTATCGCGATTCGCGCTACGATTGAAATCGTGGTTTTAATCGCGGAGTAATCGTGGTGATCCTATCAGGTCTTATACTGAAGTTAGTCGTAACAATCGTGTTGATCGTATCGAGACGTATCAGAACGTTCCACAGATCGTGGACTCAATAGGGATAATCAACGCATCGCACGACAATGAGAAACTAACATAATGATTTAAACCAAATCATGATGGGTTATTGGCGGTTACTAGGGTGTACAGTTCTCGTAGAGGAGAGTTTACGCTAATCTACTCCTTCACTTTAAAATTGTGCATATTAATACTAATTGTTTAATTTTACAGCTTGATAATTTGCTTGAAACGTGTAATCTTCATTTGTCTATATGTATTTAGCCAGGATATAATTATGTATTTATATCGCTATTATAGACAATGTATCGTATTACCAAACAATGAAATCAGATTAAGAGTATTATAATACACACTGTGGTTATTAACCATGTATTAACTATACTTTAATCTCTAGGATCAAAATATATGTTCTTGATCACACTTCTTAAATGTTCAGAATTATTCCATGATTTTTACTGATGATCAAAACGTGTTCATACCTGTTCTTAACGTTTTAAACAATTATTTCGTGATTTTTA